AATATGGGCAGAGGGAAGTAGCTTAAGTTCTGTTCCTCATACTGCTGGCTTGGACACTGTGCCTCCTTGACTGGGGCTGGATTTGATGATCCATATGGTTGCATCCAGCTCTGTAATTCTGATAATGATTATTACTCCACTCACATCCTACCCAATGGCACAAATTTCACGCACGATCAGTTAATCGAATTGAGATCTGCAGTGGCCTAAAAACAAGGAAGAAAAACATACACACTCCCTACCTCATGAAAATTAAAGCAATATAAATGGAATCTCCCTCTGCTTTAATGTGCTTCCCTTGCAAAATGGCCACCAATCACACAGATGGAGAATGCCCTCCTAGGGATTCCATTATTGGAGTTTCGAGATGAACTTTGGCTTTTCATTGGTGCTTGAATTGTTAATCTTCTTCATCATCTGTCTTCCTGTTTCTTTTGTTACAATATTATATTAATTTTCTCAGTGAGTGCTTTTTAAAAAGTCAGCCTTTTAAATCCCCAAAGCACCAAAACGGTATTTGATGCATTAGAGAGCCCTGATTTCATATTCACACCATTCAGGCTTCCCTGCCCCTTCACTTTGGATCAGTTTGGTGATGGACAAATACCCTCTCTTTATTAGAGATTGCAAATAATTTTTTTCCCTAGTGGATATTCTTTAATATTGACAAAAATTCCTGCAGATCCTTGTAAGTAAAGAAGTGGCAGGGTGAGGAAGATGCTAAATTATACCAGACCCAAGTCTTCTCCAATCCAGAGCCACAGACACAATGCCAACAAAAGCTTAGTCCAGAGCAGGAACATTCCAAAGTAATTTTTCACATCTGAACACTGAGTTGGGTTGATTGCCAGCTCATCTGGCCCTTAGCCATCCTGCACTCAGAATGGGTGAAGGTGCAAGTGAGAGAAAGAACATGAACACATTTGTCATATGTTTGATTTTGGAACTTGTAAGGCAATTTCCCTTCAAATAAAATGCACAGTAGCATTAGCTGTAGGCCAGTATAACTTGTAGGTTTCTCAAGCGGAAAAATCAAATAATAATGTAATGTATGCAGTAATGGGAAACCTTGTGTTAGGAAAATACATTTGGACATGTTAGTACATCCTCATTCCAATGCCAAATTCTACAAAGAGGTTGCCCAGATGGGCTTTTGTTGCACAAAAATATATAATTGAGCCTTAAAGTACTCTGTTAGGAGTTAGCAAACAGGCATCCAGTGACGGTATTAAGCATAAAGGGATTTCCATTTCACTTAATGGACACAATGATGAAAAAACTCTGCTGTGTAGAGCCTTAAAAGATCTATTGTTTAGACAACAGGAATATGGTACAGTGTCTTGTGCTGTGGCCAGTACAGCTTGACCAGTATCTTGGAAGTGAATGGCTGTCAGTGGCAGAGGGGTACACCTGAGGCCCAAATTGTTTTCTTCACAGAAAAAGAGCCTCTTCAGCACTCACCTCAAGAAGGGGGGGATTGTTGCAGCATCAGAGGGAATACTGAATGAGTTACTGTGGGTGGGCTCTTTGCTCCTGGCCTTGTTGCTTCTTTCTCATGGTGTTGTAACATGCAGTTTAATGGGAAAAATCTTGCAAGAAGTTTGGAGCAAAAGTTAATGAGAGAAGGTACTGTAGTACCCCAAGAGTCGGCAGGACTTGGCCTGAGGAAACATACAGTTAGAACTGGGTAGCTGCCAGCCTAGATTCTGAGTTGAGTCATAATCTGGTTATGTGACAGCATGGTATATGGAGAACTAGTGGACTCAGGATCTGTCCCCTCCTGTGCTTCAGTTTCAGTTTTAAGATATTATTTATGGATGAATACATTTCCTTTCCATACCCAAAGAGCATAAATAATGCAAAGGAGAAATGTATTCTATGCAACTGGAACTACCATGAAGTTGAACATGCCACCCTTCTACGTGGCAAGTATCCAACTGGCAGCCAAATCCATCCACACGGGATGATAGAATTGCAGGAGGTCCTCAAAGTCCTCCCACCCCAATGTCTATTTGAAATTGCAGAATGTGTTTTGTCCTCCTTATCTTTACCATAGAGTAGTGGCCCCATGGATTTTACATTACTGTCATTTATGGGAATTATATATTGCAAGCCATTTTTCTATGTAAACCAGAAACAATCAAATACTGATTAATTAAGTTAAACAACTGGGCCTACATGGCACCTACCTTGGATCATGATGTCTGAAACATAGCCAGATTAATGAATGATAGGCCCCAGGTCAATTGCACATCATGAGGTTATTTATTAGGGAACAAGCAAGCATGAGTACAGAATGAAAAATTATTAAGACACTCTTGTGTTTCATTGTCTGTACATTGAAGCAACTCAGTAGCAGAATCTCAGCGCAAACTCAGAACATGACATTGTTGATCAGGCAAAATGAAAACCTGAAATTAAAATTTAGAATATTTGAGCCGAGTCTTATTCAAATGGGAAGTGCAGGATCAGTTGAAAGGATAGAAATTATTATCTGGAAATTAAGATAGAGATTGCAAATAATTGGGCTATGGACGTCATTCTGGGCTATGGACAAAATAGTGTTGATTGTCTCTCCCTCGACATTCATTTATCTTTTGATGAAACACAAGAGGCTACGTGGTTAAGGATATCTTATCTCACATACCTTGAAAGTTCCATTAGGGTCACCGTAAGTTAGATGAATCTTGATGGCCAATAACAGCAACTCATAATTACATCTCCTTGGATTCTACCCTTGGTTCACTTGAATTTTGCCAGATGCCTTAGAATGTGAGTGCTACTGAAAGATGGCACTATAAACTTGTCCTCATAAATTTTGGATGTTCCACCTTAAGTTTCTGGCCATGCGGTGAAGTAGTGGGCAATGATAAATCAAGAAAACAACTCTGACAGAGTTTGCACTGTGTTGCAAGAAGACCACTGACAGGTTTTTTTAAAAGATCAGTTATTGTAATGTGTCAGATGAAGATGCTTCCTAGTTCTGTCTGAGTTGTATCAGTTCAGAATTCTATTGCAATGCTATTCCACATAAAAAGCCAGATATTAAAGAGAAGGAGCTTTAGTCTTCTTTACAATATGCTACTTTTCAACATGAAGGGATTCATTCATTCAGTCAGCCATGTGAATTCATATTTCCAATGTGTTGTAGTCTAGCCCAGAAACAGAATGACTACCTGAGAAAAATTAGGCCTAACCAAAAGGAAGGTTTTTCTAATTTGCAAGCTTAATTTGTGAGGGTCTGACAGCCCTGGCTGCAGGAGAGTATTAGACTTGTAAATGGCGCCTTAGACCCATCCATTATTATGATTATACGATTCTAGATAATGAACTACCACATAATCTTCTTTCTGATGCTAGAGGTAAAAGTCTTCTCAGTGGTGCTACAACAAGAAGAAAAAGACAGTATGTTACATTTCACAAGCAAAAGAAAATTCACTGGGAAATTTTTTTGCCAAAACTAGATGGATTTTAAATATTGGAGGATGAGGAACAATTTTCTCACTGTGGCCCCAGAAATTTTTATTGTTGTACCCTAATCAGTACATGGGCAAATTGACACAACTGACAGGAAAAGATAAACTACTGTAGAGTGTGGAGTATCCCCACACAAACACACATGATAGATGGTTTAAACATCTCATGAATGGCACCAAATGGGGCATTCTGTGAATAATTACAGGTGGGGCAAACATAGCTCTGCTAGATCTATGTCGTAGTGCATTCACCAATGCTGGCCTAGAACTGCCTGGTTTAGTAAGGTCCATGAATAGTATTCTATATATGTTTTCTTGGATATTACTAGAGTATTCCTTCTAACTCTGCCATTCAAGATAGGAAGATTCTGGAGTAAGTGTAGGGCCCAGAGTGCAGGGATTAGGTTCCATCAATCTGTAGGGAATGTAATCAGCATGGGTAGCCCTGCCTTTCTACACCAGCTTTCGTCAACTTAGTGTCCTCCAGATGTATAGGATTACAATTCCAAACATTCATCATGATGAGGCATGATGAGGCATGCTGGCAGAGGCTGGTGGAATCTCCTGTCCAAAACATCCATGAGTTTGGTGAAGGCTATTCTGCAGAGTTGCTGCCTTCACACATGCAGACAAAGGCTTGAACAAGGCTCAATTCTCATTACCATCTGAACAAGTACATGTGTCATATAAACCTCAGGATGGCCACTTATATGTCCCCCCAAAAGTAGAACATACATCACCAAAAATAAGGACAGAGGGAAATGATCTGCATAAAAATCTATTGCGTAACTTATATGTGCAGATTCAAAACTGGAAACTGCTGTAATTTAAACAGAATCCCAAGGTACCTCAGTAGAGTAAGGAGAAGAGTGACAAGGTGACCTTTTTCTTTACTGAGTCTGCCATCTGGATGCTGCTTACTGTGGACAGGTAATTTTAAGATCCATGATCTCCCTACTTAGGTTTATTTATTGTTAAATCTAACTTGGATACGTTTTTCACGTGGAGGACACCATCAAAGGGGAAATTGTCCTTCATAAAAGGAGGACTGTCCTTCATAAATAAAGACATATGGCCACCTCAGTGAACAAAGTATCCCCATGAGAATACCATTATCAAGGTCTATCTAGGTCTATACACATTTTACATTATATTGTATACTAGGGGCCACAACCTGACACTTACTATGCATTTTGGTGTCAAGTAATCTAAGCTAGCTGATGGATTCTGGGAGATGTGGACCTAAAAAGTAACTTTTCCAAACCGGAGCAATCTCACACATTTCCCTTCCAATGAAAAGAGTGTTTCTCTTGTAGAAATAGGCTAGACTAAGACAGAAACAGCAGCTAAAGCAGATCGGGCATACTTATAATATACTATCAAAAATTCAGCTATAAATAGGCCATATGGTCATTCAACATTGTAGAAATCTTTACAGTTTGATAGTACTATGACTATGTTAAAGTATTTTTGGGAAAAATCTTTATTAATTTCGAATTCAATTCTCCAAACATTTTAACTTACCCGAACGCATCTCCTAGTATACTTCCTGCCAACATTTTTACCAAATTCCCTGAGAAAATAAAAGATCAGAAACATCAAACTTGACATGTAAACACAATACTCTGTTGGTAATATTCATATAGGTCCATAAACTAGCAGAGCAGGTACTAATATTCCCTTCTATTTGCTCATACTCTGGTCCTAAGGCATTGTCAGATGTGTGATCTGGCTCAGTTTACCAATTAACAATCTAGACTAGAAATGGGCACAGGGAAATAAATGGTGGTTTGCCATGGTTCATGGTTTGTCTGCATTCTTGAATCACAAACCACAAACTTCCTGACAAAATGAACTGTTTCGTGGTTCATGCGATTTAGGAATCATAGAGTGACCCCTGCATGAGTTAGAGAGGTCAAACTTGCAGTGAGTCTTCAGCTGATTCCCCTCAAAGTTTGGTGAAGATTGTATTTGGTATTCCAAAGTTATAGACACCCCAAAGTGGGTCCTCTCAGGAAAGAGCTCTTTAGCAGCTAGCCTGGGGAAAATTAAATGAGTGGTTTGTGCGAGAGAACTTGAGACAGGGTATTGCTCATCATGAGGTGGACTGAGGAGGGAACAGAAAGAGGACAAATGTGGGAGAAGGACAGAAGCAAAAAAATAGACTAGCTAGCTAAGCATTTTCTCCTCATGCTGGCTGCTGCAAAAATGAAACCACCAGCCCAGCAAACTAGGGTGCATCTCCTATAACCATTTACTCCCAGAGACTGCACGTGGAGCTGAATGGTTGGCTCCCTGACCTGACAATCAATCATATTCAAATTTTCCTCTCGGTTCACCTCAGTGTTGCTTGGATAATTGATTGAGTGGCTCCCGGCTGTTTGGCCAGGGACGATACACTCCAATATGAAGCATACAAATCACCAATGGCAATAATAGTTCATTCTGGACAGGCGCATTTCCCCAGAGCACTCCAAAAGAGAACCACGGAACGGCCCAATTTGTTTTGTTTTTGCTTTTGTCTCATGGTTTGTTACTAGACATGGGGACGAATATAAAAATGAAATGGGATATTCAACAAATATCCCTGATTCATCAGATATTCATTGCTTTGCATTCTTGAGGTCCAAAGACCCTGACAAATACAAAGCAAAAAATGTAAAACTTTTATATTCGTCTCTTCATCTATCCCTCTCTGCTTATGCCTATGAACTGTTCCTCTGGGGCATAGGCAGAGAGGGATTTTCCCTTCCTGCTGCTTGCTAAAGCCTGTCCAAAGGGAATCCCACCCCCCTGTTTACAAAGACGGGGGGGGGGAAATCACTTTGCCCAGGCTTCCCCTGTCTTTCCATGCACCTGTGGCACAGAAAGAGAGGGGAAGCCTGATCAAAGCGATCCCCCAACCCCACTGTCTTTGCAAATGCACCTGGGGGGGATCACTTGAATCCCCCTTCCCTCCTTTTTCTATAATGGGGAGGCAATTTTCATCCCCATCTCTATTTCTTAAAAACCCATCTCTAATCAAGACCCAATATTTATTGATTTTTGTCACTCTGCCTTCTGTCTCCTGTAATGTTAACTGTAAGCCCTCACAGCACTTGGAAATTTATTTGAAAAATAGCTTGTTGATCTATAGTTCCAAACCATTCAAAATTGAATTATTATTATCATTCAAATTTGAAAAAATGATTTCCTAAGTGGATTGTAACCCACAAAAATTACCATTAAATGAAACTCTTAGTCTTTGAGTTGCTATGGGTTATTGTTTCTTTTTGTCTATTAAATATAAATTGGTGCTTCCCACATTTTTCAAATATAATTAAAATGTTTACTTCCGTTACTTTTTAAGAACCATATAAATTCTATGAGGTATTGGATAGTAATATAAAACATACTCTTGTTCACCTTCGCAATAGCCAGAATAGAGCACAAGGGAGCAGTACAGGCCTGCATTTGAACCATGTAATGGGCCTGTACTGACGGACATGACATACCTGTAATTTTTAAAGTAAATAAGGGCTTGTCTACCCTGGTTGTTTTGGAATGGGCTGGTGTGAGCTAAATAGGGCCACTTAGATTATATATATTCTATATTCTATTTTCCTTGTCCTAAAGGGCCGGTCAAGAGATTTCCAGCAGCCAAATCCGCTGGCATAGATTCGGCTGCTGGCAATTTCTTGACTGGCCCTTTAAGACAAGACAAAAGAAAGGGCTTTTGTCTTTTTACCCCCTACAACTGATGAAGTGCATCAGCAATAGTCTATTACAGTCTTTTAAAAATCCACTTTACCTACCCCTTCACTCAGGAGCAGAGGAAGTGTTCATTTGCCATTACCCTGAAGTGGCTCGTTTAATAAGCTGCTTTATAATATTGGAAATTCCAATTGGAAGGAGGCTTGATGGCCAGAAATCTCATACACTGGAAATGGACCAAACCAGAGCAATTCTACACACACCAAATGTGTAGAAGCCAGGGGCTCAGAAATTTGCAGGCAGGAATGCTCTGGTGATGATTTTGTTTGGTCCAGTAATTACACTGTGTGACTCCTGGAAAAATGAGCAAACTAATCTGTCCCCACAATACATGAAACAGGAGGCTAAATGCCTGTCTGATCACACCCTAAAATTTATGAACACACTGCAAAAGGGATGAAAATGTCTTTTCTTAAGTTAGAATGCAATTTGGTTATACAGTACTTTTATTTTTTGGGGGGAAGGCATTTATCTTAAGTAACTGGACACTGAAAAATCTGAAAAAGTTACTTTTTAAAAAGGGGAACTTCTAGAATCCCCCAGCTGGTATAGACTGTGGTTGTAACGACTGGAAGATTTTGTGTTGCTACCTGGAAAGCAATTTTTGCATGCTCTAGTAATTTGTAACTTTTAAATTTTGAAAACCCTAAGGTATTTATTATGCAAATATATTATTTTGGAGAGATATCCCTTTGCCTTTTCTGATGGAAATCTAAGACAAGACAAATCTATGATGTGAAGAAATATATTTATAGTGAGTTTCAGAAGTTCTGATATTTTCAGCACACACTCCTAACCAGCCAAGATGGTAGAAGACCAGTGAGTTAATAGTAGTCCACCTAGTGCAGTGCTGAATCTAAACTCATGCCAGCTGAGGGCTATTGGAAGTTACCTCAGACTAGTCTCACCCTGGATTGATTTAATTCAAATCAGGTTCTCCTGTTCTCCAGCCATTTGGTAGTAAGCTTTAGCCAGCAGGGCTGTTCTGCCAGCAAATTCCTCTGCTGTTAGATATCTGAGATCACCCTGCAGAAGAGGGTTCTGCTGGCACAAGAGCATTTCTGCAAGCGTAAGAGGATTTCTGTTGGCATAAAAGGCCTCTCTGTATTGGTAATCCACCCTTCAGGCATCAGAGCTTTGAGTTAAGACTGCGCCGTTACTGAGAAGAAACTATTCTATGTATCTACCATACTTACAGGTTATGTTTGCAAAGTTCACATTGGTTCTTGTAGGTACGACCGTCTGTGGCACAGACTGGGCGATACATGTTTGGACAGGCCAATGTTTCTTTGCCACTGGGAAGTACAATTTTATAGTATTTCTGACAACTGATCTGCAAAAGGAATATCCAGTTAAGTATCACACCAGTTTATGATTAACAGATTTTTATCACTACCTGCATCAGAAGAAGTATATTATTCTCCTCAAGATCCCTTAAGGCAATGGTCCCCAACCTTGGGCCTCCAGATGTTCTTGGACTTCAAGTCCCAGAAATCCTGGCCAGCAGAGGTGGTGGTGAAGGCTTCTGGGAATTGCAGTCCAAGAACATTTGGAGGCCCAAGGTTGGGGACCACTGCCTTAAGGGCTTCCTCTTGGTCTCATTGCCATTACAGGCACATTTGATGATGACACAAAAGAAGACCCTCTATGGTTTATCCCAGTTGGTGGAATGCTCTCCCCTGAGACATTAGGTTAGTCCCTTCCCTTTTATCCTTCTGATGGCAATTGAAGACCCACTTCTTCAAGCAGCTTTCTAATGACTTTATTAACTATTAATGGGTCCTGGGTGAAGCCTTATGCTTTCTTTAAATTTAATCTTGGAGTCTTAAATGTTTTTAAATTACATAATGGATTTTTAATTAGTAACACGGTTTAATTGCTTTTCCCCATCACTGGGAGAAAGATGGCCTAAAAATGATTCAAACAAACAAAAGAAGGGAAAGAAAACTAACCAAAGGGAAGGCCTGACAAGAAGCAGGGGATAATGCAGCTGTAGTAATAGCAGACAAGGCCATATAATGAGTAGAGATACAATTGACTGAAGAATTATACCTCAGTAGTATTAGCTAGAAGTTCTCTTTTAATTACAAGTAGAAGTTCCCTTTTAATTACAAGCACCTCAACAGGTAGAAGGTGCCAAAGAGGCTGGCCAGCCCTACCATTAGTCAAGAGTGATGCAGCCACTTAGGCAACAGATTTTTTTAATGTCATGAAAGGACAGCAAATTGTTAATCACTTGACTTGTTCTTTTAATGCAGGGAAAGTGAGAGGCAATTGTGGGATTTTCTATGTCATGTGAGAAATTCCTTGCTTGCTTGTTAGTTTGTCTAAACTTTTACCCTGCCCATTTAGTGGACAAGCCACTACTTTGGGCTCATTAATTTCTCTGTCACCTCACAACACTCACACAGAAGATAAATTAACTAAAGCATACATCCTGCTTGTAGAAAAAGTACAGACTGAATAAAAAAAACTAAATACAGTGTATGTGTAATAGCACCCACTAGCAATTGCTTTCTACTTGGTGTCTATGTTTATTTCACGTTAAGGACGGGCACAGTGAAAATCTTTGTGTTTCATTTGTTTCTTGTTCTTTGCAGGGTTAGAAATGATGTTCTAATTTAGTTTTTGTATTTTTCATGTACTGCCCCTTCATTTTACATGAAAGGGAAAGCTTTTTAGGGTTTTCCATTCATGCTGTCCCATGTGGATTCTTTGGCACTCCAAGAAATCCTAAAGATCACTTTAAAACTACTCAGAAAAAGCAGAGGTGCAGTAACTAGTCTACTCTAAAAACAACAACAGTGTATGAGAAAGAAAAAACATCATTGGACCAATGCAGGCACTTGTTTATATTATCAAATTCATTGTAATAATCAGTGTCATTTGGTAACAGATGAGAAAGAGAAATTTTCCTCATTAGGTCTATATAGGTACAGGTATATTTTATGGTAAAGGTAAAGGTAAAGGTTCCCCTTGACAATTTTTGTCCAGTCGTGTTCGACTCTAGGGGCCGGTGCTCATCCCTGTTTCCAAGCCATAGAGCCAGCGTTTGTCCGGAGACAATCTTCCGTGGTCACATGGCCAGTGCGACTTAGACACGGAACGCTGTTACCTTCCCACCGAGGTGGTCCCTATTTATCTACTTGTATTTGCATGCTTTCGAACCACTAGGTTGCCGGGAGCTGGGACAAGCGACGGGCGCTCACTCCATCACGTGGATTTGATCTTACGACTGCTGGTCTTCTGACCCTGCAGCACAGACTTCTGCGGTTTAGCCCGCAGTGCCACCATGTCCCTAGTATATATTGTGACATCCACACAACTCAGTGGAACACTGGTGCAGTCACAAAGTTCACCTCTCCTGGGCTATAACCCCCTATAAAAGCAAAGTCCCTCACAAACCCACCAGAATACAGTATACACCTTTCACAGAATAAACACATGCACAGCGACCTCTTTAGAAAAGTAACCAAGCAGTAGTAGCAAGTGAGCCACGCAGCAGCAAAAATAATTCAAGAAAGGGGAAAAAAGAAAAGAAAAAACACCAAAAGGAGGAAGAAAAACCCCAAAGAAAGCTTGGTTGGAGAGATCCCAAGGAGGCATGGCTACAGTAGGGAGAATTATAAAAAAAAACAAGGGTAAAAAGGCAAAAAAGCGTAAAGGATCCAAAATGGAGGCACAGCAATCCAAGATGGAGGATACCAAGAGAGACAGGGCCTGTATTTTTTTTTGGAAAATGTTAGTGGCTTTAATTTCTTCATTTGGTGCTTATTTATAGGGCTCAGCTGGACACATTTATTGATTTATTTTATGTACTTTAAATGCTTTTACTCATCTTTTCTCCTAAGAAAGGACACATGGTGGTCTACGTCATTAAAACACAATATTAAAGTGAAAAACAGGGAATATTTTGACTATTAAATGAATTAATAATATTATATTTAAAATGTTAGGTAAAAGCTTTATTAAAAACAGATTTGGAAAGACCCTGTTTATTGTCTCCTAGACAGTCTGTCACTAAGGAAGTCTGCCTGAAGAGAAAGGTCTTCACCTGCCTGTGGAAGGACATCTCTGCTGCTTCTGATGCAACTGTCTGTCCCTTTTGCTAAATGCCTCTGTCCCCCCCTCCACCTCTCTATTCTAAACTTTTTTTTGTGGAGGGGGCACCAGCTGGGGGTGGGAGCACTATTGTGCCCAACATGCCACATGAAGTCTAGCATCTGAAAATACTTATTTGCAATGTGAGCCAACTGTGCAACTGCCATCAAAATTCATTTTATTTTATTTTACTTTATTTTATTTAATTATTTAAAAGAGTACTTACCGTTTTTTTCTTCACATCAGCAGCAGCAGCTAGGACAAAATCATGCAGAAAGATACCATGAGAGCAAAGCAACCACTGACAGAAACTACTGTAATTTTAAATTATTAACATGAGAGCCTGCAATCTATGAGGTTATTTATTTAAAATATTTTTACCCTGCCTTTCTCCTTGAAAAGGACCCATTGTAGCTTACAACACTGAAAGACAATATTTAAAGCTGAAAACAATGAGTATGTAATGGTGATGAACAACATTAAAATAACATTTTTAAAGCTAAGAACAATTACATCATTAAAAAGCAACACTAAAGTTAAGAAAAATGTATACAAATATTAAAAAGAAAAAGAAACAAATGCTACTCTTAGAAATGCAAAGCACAGAAATGGAAAACACAAGTAGTGCTAACAATCCAGTCAACGCAGTAATGCAGACTTGATTTCCGAACGTATTGTGAATGAGGATTCTTTGTCCAAGAGTTTTCAAACTCGCTCATAATGAGCTTCTTTAGATCCACATGTCAATCCTCCTGGTATCTCATACCATGATTTTAAAGGCAGTGGCTGACATCCAGTGGTAAGCCACAACTAGAGTAGGCCCATTGAATCAGCACAACTTACAGAAGAAAGAACTCACCAAATTAACACTAATTCAGTGTGCCTACTCTTTTGGCAACTTATTACTGGATTTCAGCATTTCTGCAGAAACATCTCACAGGTTTTGGTGGAATTAATTTCCATTCAAGCCTCTACTTCAGAATACCAGTTTATGCAAGGTAATATCACTCCTTGTGGACTGCCAGATAGCTCAATGTTAAAAGTATCTAGTTCAACTCCCTACTGTGACTTCCTGATAGGAGAGTACTTTCCAGCTCTGCAGTTCTAAGAATATTATTAAAATTATTATGACGGCTCATCTACCTAATCCAATACTGTATTTTTCAGCTGCAAAGAGGAAAGGCTAGAAGAACATAGAACATATTTGCAAATAGTTTTCGCATGGGCTTCTGTGGTGCCATTAGCGAACACACCTGGGGAAACACTTCTGTGCCGATGTTTGCTGGCAACAACTGAGCAGACTACAACTGGGAAGGGAACAGGTTTGTGGATCTAGTGTGAGCCCCTCCCATGTTCCTACATGCATTCTTGCTATTCAGTTTTCTGTGCATTTAGGGTGAGTGTCTGATTATGATTTGATAAGTGTTTTCAGCCACAATATAACACTTGTCCAATTCTCAGTTACTATTGTGAGAAAAAAATATCATGTGGCTCTAATCTGTGCTGAAGAATCCTTCATAACACCGGTTTACTGATTCATCCTTTTATGTAGAAGAATTCGGTCTGTGGTAAAGTGAAGTAGTGCAGGTGCTCAGTAGAAGGGATAGCTAGAAGGGTTTTGTTCCTTCACTTACATTTACTCAACTTTTGGGCAAAAACTAACTTTAGTTCAAAAACTTTATATTAGTTTATTTTCTTTAACTAAATGAGCTATACATACATGTCACAAATTCATAATTCAGTTTCTATCAACTCCAAATAGGAGTTGCAATATTTCCACTCATCATTATACCTGCTCCTTAACATGTGTCATTGTGGCGTGCCCCTTGTGTGTCCCCAGATTCTTTCACTAACCTAAGGCTCACACCACATTCCCTTTTACACTGCCACAGTATTTTAGTATTTACATTCCCAGATTATTTCACTAACCTAAGGTTCACACCACATTCCCTTTTACACTGCCACCATTTGATCTCTGTCAACAATATTTACTTAGACTGAGGTACATACTGCGTGTAATTTATTTAAAAAACAGTATTTTAGTATTTACATTTTTACATCTTGGATTTTTGCATGTTCATTGGTTCTATTGTTTTTAAATTTTGTAATGCTGCCCAGAGTAGACTATTTGTCTAGATGGGCAGGGTATAAATG